GGGCTATGCATATATGCATATAAATTCTTTGGTTAGCCTCTTCTCATCCCCCTCAAATCCCTCTCCTCTGAAATCTGTCAGTCTATTCCATGCATCCATGTGTCTGTACCTATTTTGTTTGTCAGTTTATTTTGTTCATTAGATTCTGCATATAAGTAAGATAATGTGATATTTGTCTTTCTCTGACTGGCTTATTTTGCTTAGCATAATAACCTTTCTTCCCTAGCCTTTGAGGTCAAATTCATAAAATCTGCTGTGAGACCAAGGTATATAAGTTTAGTACCTATGTTTTCTTCTATGTAACTTATTGTTTCCGATCTTATATTTAGGTTTTCAATACATTTTGAGTTAATTTTTATATATGGGCACAAACTGTACTCTAGTTTCTTTCATTTCCAACTTTCCAAGCACAATTTATTGGAGAGGCTTTCCTTTCTCCATTGTAGGTTTTTGGTTCTGTTACAGCCACTATTCTTAAAAAAATAAGAATAGATTTATCATATGAACCAGCAACCCCTTGGCCCTGGGTATCAACCTGAAAAACTAGAAAATATATTTTTTTTGGCAAAGATATATGCACCCTTATGTTCATTGCAGCATTATTTTCAGTGGCGAAGACATAGAGACATCGAAAGTGTCCTTTGATAGATGACTGCATAAAGAAGGTTTGGTACATATGTACAATGGAATACTACTCAGCCATGAGAAGAGATGAAATACTGCCACTTGTGACAACATGGATGGACCTTTAAAATATCATGCTAAGCAAAATAAGTCAGACAGAAAAAGTTAAGAACCGTATGGTTTCACTTATATGTGGGATATAAAACAAAGTAACAAATGAACAAACAAGAAAAACGAACAAAAACTCATAGGCACAGACAACAATATAATAGTACCAGAGAGAAGGGGGGTTAGAAAGGGTAAAGGGGGGTCAAATGAATGGGGGGACAAAAGATGATTTGACTTTGAGTGGTAGGCACACAATGCAATATACAGACCATGTAGCATAGAAATGTATATTTGAAACCTATATAATCTTATTAAACAATGTCATCCTAATAAATTTAATAAAAATAATGGCTAAAAATGATCTATATCTAAATTTGAGTTTTCTATGGAAAAATGAAATTGATTTTTAATTTGTTTCTTAGTAAGGTAAAGAGCTTTGGCAGCAATTGTTTTTCATACTGACCAACTAACATCTCCTTGTTAAACTGTTTATTTGGAAATAATTCCAAACATACAGGAACATTACAAAAATAAAACTATTTCAAAGAACACCCATATATCCTTTATGCAGATTCATCTAATGTTAATATTTTCTCCCCTTTGCTCTCTTTCTTGGTAGATAAATAAAAGTTTTATGAACTATTTGAGGTTAGGTCACATTAGTCACAGCCCTTTAACTGTAAATGTTTCTTCATGTATTTCCTAAGAATAGCGATAGTCTCTTACATAATCACAGATTCATGGCTTTTAATTGAACTTGAACAATAGGAAACAGCTTACCATCAGTAGTTTCGTCATCTCCAAAATGCTGTCTGTAGAAGAGCATCAGTTCAATGTTGTAGCATTTGTAGATGACCACGAGTAGCACAAGGAGGAGGATGATTGCTCCCACGCCTCCTGCAAGCTCAATTTTATAGATTAAATCTGGAAGAAACATAATAAACAGGAAAAGGTAATAAAATCAGTAATACTTGAGATTGTCTCATAATTCTGGTCTGTAATATGTACAACCCATTCTGTTTTTCTTTCCAGAAGATTCTTGCTTAATGCAGTAAGTGGCTTTGTTCTTAGTACATTTGTGTAAATAAAATATTTGTAAAATTTACTTTCTTCTAAAGACTGGAGTAAGTTTACTCTTGAAAGTGATAAGTCTATATGCAAAGGAATAGTCACTCCCAATTTGTTTTTAACACATGTGAATCTCACATATATACTTTTGATTTAGGTGTGTTTCAGGAAACTATTAGAGCTGCCTTTTTCTGGGTCCAGGGCCAAGATTTTGTCTTTTAAATCTCACTGGCTTAGAAAGATTACAATCTAGTACTTTTCAGGCCACAGACCCTATTCTCCTACGGAACAGTATCATAAAATTATTCTCAGAATCGAATAAAATCTAATGAGCTTGCAGGATTTAACTGCTTAATTTAACCCTAGGAGAACATAATCCAATAGAAGGTAAGCAAGGGAAATTAGCGTATCCATTTCCCCTACTTATTTGAATAAATGACTATAATATGTATGTGATATAATATGCCCAGAGAGGCTAAAAGAGAATGAAAATGAAATATCCAGGCTAATCACTTGGCCTATTCAGCTAACATCAGGCTACCTGATAGCAGCCTCAGGCTGCTCCAGTGGGGCACCCCTAGACCTCTTGGAGTTAGAATGATGAAATCAAAACATAATGGAAGGACACATGATGTATTCCAGGCTCAGGGAATAATGACTTGCCTGTAGCTTAGTTAGTGATATTAACAAATCTAGGGTATATCATCAAAAGAAGGTATAGTACCATGGAATTAAGAGAAATAGGAAGTCAGAGGAGAATTAATAATGTGAATTCAGCAATGTCCAGAGTAGAAATACTGAATCTGAAAGACACCAAAATACTACAGACATATTTTCCACTGTGGGATAAGGACATTTATTGGTCTCAACATAATATAGATAAAATTGACTAAATGATTAGCTAACCTCCACTTAATCTAATTGCATAATTACCAAGGACTCTTTTATTCCTAATTCAGTTTGCCACATAACTAGAAACTGGAAAAGGGAATGCCATTCTAGTTTATACATCAGTTACTTATGAGTTTGGTTGGCATCCATCAGCCTCCCTGAATGGATCAATTCTGGGGAATTGCCAAAATCAAATTTATGACCATGACTGACTGCCACTCTTTAAGGTTTCTTGACAATCATATCATCAACCTTCCCCTGGGAATGTCCCTTGTTTCTATATAAGCTTATTACTTAAGAGAAGTTAGTCATGTTCAACATAACAATTAAGATTAATATTAAGAAGAAAAAGATAAACATATATAGTATACACTACACTATAAGTAATATATATTATGGATTAAAATTTTTTCAAGTACTCTACTATCTATTCTCTAATTAATCCTTGAGGGCAAGAATTGTTGGTCTAAATTTATAGGTGAAGATTCTGAGACTCGGTAGTTAAATTCACTTACCCAAAGTCATACACTTAAGAAGTGTCCAAGATGGGACTTTAGCTCAGGTACCTTAACTTCAAATTCAAGATTTTTTTATTACACCACAGCTTTATAAGTTCCATCCTGGAAAGTGACATAGGAAATTCTTCTCCCTGTTTCTCCATGTTGTTAATGCTTCTCAAGAACACATGACTTACAGTGAACATTGGTTCCTCTGCCCTTTCAATTTTAAAGAAGTTGAACTACAATTCACCAGATAGAAACACAGGACTGAGTGGATCTCAGGCACTTCATTAGAGGGTACTGAAGAATCCTGTAGCTGTACCATAGAGGAAGGAGGGGCTTCCTAGCATTCAGAATATGAAGGAAAGTTTTAGGCTTTTTGAGGAGAAAGGAAATTTGGTCTTAGGAAAGAGGTGGAGTGAGAGGAGACAGTGGTAGGCAGAGATAGCATGGGTAGTCAAGAGAGTCACTGAGTGGAAAGGTAAGAAACATAAATAAATGTCACTCTTTTTGAGTAAGGTGAGAAGGGGAAGGGTTAGAAAAAGAAGGGAATGGATCTGCTGTGAGGAACAAAATATATTAATAAGGAACATTATGAAGGGATGCATAATGAGATAGGATAGGAAATTGGAATCTATCTCTCTACTGCCTGCTGTGCAATGTGGTCATTTTGAAAATTAAGCCACAAAATTTTAGGTTAAAAAATCCTACCACACATTAACTCTGCCTCTTGCCCTCTCTATAGAAAGTGGTTCCCCAGGAATGACTCCCTGACTCTATGTGGGTGGTAAGACAGGCTTGCTTATGAAACCTCGTGGGGCTGCAGTATCACGGTCTTTGCTTGTTTTCTCACTGTCTTACATCAATTATGCATTCTTAACAGCCAGTGTTAGATCGACAGAGCAATGGGATTCTTTTGTTGTTGTTATTCTAAAATCTGACTTCTTTTTGATCTTAGGGCATGGATTGATTTGATTCAAAATGTTTTCCTACTATAAAATGCTCATTTATGTTTTAAAATATTTGGTCCCTCTCTCCCTCCTCTCCCTCCTCTCTCTCTCTCTCTCCCTCCTCTCTCTCTCTCTCTCTCTCTCTCTCTCTCTCTCTCTCTCTCTC